GTTTTGCCTTGCACTGAGACACCCAGTGAGTCAACCTGATAAGATACACACACAGTGCCCTTAAAATAACTGTGCAAAAGGAATTGCCAGTTCCTTCCATCTGGTCCCTCTCCTGCTCTCCAGTTCTCTGCACCTTGCCCCAGGTGAGCCCATCCCAGTCCAGCAGTCCCTGTTCCCCCAGGCTCACTGAATTCTCAGTTTTATTTGTGGTTCTCAGCTTTAATTGATTTATTAAAAAATATGGATATTGATCTAGTACTGATATCTAACTGTGACAGATAAAAACTCTCTAACAGTATAAAGTTAGAAAGTGTGTGTTTATTCGACGCCAGGCAGCGTGTGGGATCACTCCCAAATACACACTGCACCTTCCAGGTGATTACAGAGTCTTTTTATCCATACAAGTATTGAATACACAAAATACAAATACATATTCATAATTTTGGTACATCCCATTCCCCACTTCCTATGCTGATCACTCTAAAAGCTATTAAGCATGCGTAGTTTGTCCCTTGAAATGGGTCGGTGTCCCTTTCATGGGGAGGGGTCCCAAAATGAGGAAGTAAATGAAGTCTTCCTCGTTCTGACCTTTCTACCTTTTCAATGCCAATATGACAAATGAACTCTTGGTAGAACTCCCATTCCTTGTCTTCAACTGGTTCAGAACAGAGGAGGCCCACAATTGTCTTATGTTCCTAAAAGCTATTTGTTAGTTTCTATATTCTTCATTATAAACCCAGCTAACTAAACATTGTGCTGACAAGCAATCAATTATCAGTTAACTACTAACTCCTAACTTCATCAAGGCCTACTCATTTATTATTCTTATTTTAATTAACTCTAGTAAGGCTTATTTCTAACTAAAATCTTAGCTCCTCAAAATCTCTAAATGCCTTAAAGTTTACATTTCATAATCCCAATCCAGTTTGGGGGATTTCCCACTGGTTTTCCACCCAGCCTCTCACCTGCTCTCTGGCTGTCCCCAGCCCTCCTGGTGGCTCCTCCTGCACCTCACTCCTCCCCACCCTTGCCAGCTGTTTCTGTCCCAGATAATCTCCTTTAACAGCCCCCATCCCACCGGGGAGAGCCAGGCAGGACTGTGTGCCTCCTGCACCAAACTCCTGCCACTGGGAAGCAAGCTTAACAAAAACACGAATTGTGAAAAACGCCGATCACTCGCCTTAAAATTGTAAAAGTTTAATAGTAATAAAATTGTTATAAAAATAGAGTATTAAGAATTTGGATAATCAGAGTTAAGACAATAAAGGACAATAAAAATCAAAGAAATATGGACAGTCCGGGTGCCTTCCTAGGGCAATTTAGCCCTGAAAGTACACATGCTAACAAAGGATTAATCCTTAAAAGCAGTAGCCTGTTGCATATTCATATATTCATACATGATGCATAAATTCTTTTCAAACAAAAGGTATTCTCTGATTATTGTCAACTTCTTCCCCTTAATCCTGATGGCTCCTTAAAGCAGAAAAGGAGGTGGAGGAATATTTGCCTTTTCTGATATTAGGTGTCTTGTTGCTGTTATCTCTGTGCAAAGAATTTCTTGATTGTTCCAGCCCTTTCTTGACCTAGTTAAAAAAAATCTTACATCACATAGTTTCTATTTTATTATTATGTTATTAAAATAGGAATTTAAAGTTAAATTAAATTTTTTTAATTTTTTAATTAAATTTTTTTAAAGTTAAATTAAATTAAAATATTTTATAACCTAAAACTATATCTACCACACTACTTTAAAAAGGTTAACACAGTAATTAATACAACATAACACATATAGTATTCCTTTGCAATGAGCCAATCATATAATATGCACTTTTCACAAATTAAAAGGTGAAATCCATCCAGAGAATGGCACAACCCCAGCCACGTCAGCATCCAGCAGGTCAATCAGCCCCTGGATCACCTCCCCTCCACTGCTGGAGAAGCCAAAGCCTGTGGGTATTCTCAGAGAGAAACAGACCTGGTGTGTACGTGCAGGAAAAGTTGATTGTGAGAGATAAGTTTTCATTTTTCTATCTAACAGTATAAAAACAGTTTATAGAGGTGTATGTTGTTTTCACCCAGGAATAGATTGTTATGTTAATGAACTGCTCACGCCAGGATTGCTTTCACATGGGAATCTGCAAAGGGCTGGCTTGGCAACTGATTTTAGGAGAGCAGGCTTAATTCTATTATTTCTTTATGACTTTTCTACCTTACTGCAACAAGTTTTTCCAATCACAAGAACTCAAGGTGATGCAGAAATTGGAACCAGACAGCTCCTGGCTGGGCAAGCCTCAGCTCCCTGAGCAGCCCTTCAGGGAGGCCTCAAACTGGTTTATACTCAGTGTATTCTGCAGCAAGTAATAACACAGCTCTGGAGAAGGGATGACAATATCCAGGAGGGACAGGAAACATGGAAGAGAAAAGGGGAAATGAAGCTCCTTGCAAGCAACTCCAGAGCTTTTGCCTTCAGCACTTCCTGAGAGCTTCACTTTCCCAATCTACTGCCGTAACAAAGCTGCTTGGGAAACTCTCTTTAAGCCATTCCCTCTGCCAGGTAGGAAAACAGGGAAATAGGTTGGTTAATGCCTCCTAATTTCACTCCTAAGAGGTGTCAGCCCAAGGAGGCCCACACCCAACACCAGCACAGTCAGTCCCTGACCTACAGCTCGGGCACTTGGGCAGAGAACAGCAGGGATGGAAGGAAGAACAGCAGCAGGACATGAAATAATTAAAATGCTTTAAAAACTGGCAGAGGGATGTGGTGGCATCCACCAAAAGTGGCACAAGAAGCAAGTGCCCCTGTGAGTGCATTTACAGTTTAAATCAGCCCAGAAGTGAGCTGGCACAGGGCAGGCTGAGACAATCACCAGGGCAATAATTACCAGAATTAAGGAACACTGCAGCATCCCCCAGGGCTGTGAGAGCACAGGAGGTGCCTCAAGGCACAGCTTCCCTGCCAAGGTGTTTGCTTAGGGTTGTCACATCACCAACATGTTTCTCTTTTCTATCCAAAACTCCTCAGAATAAGCATGGATAATCATATAAGCTTGGAGACAGTGAAGAACAACCTGGATACTTTCCCAGAGCCCAGAGGAGCTTCAGCCTTAAACACTGCAGGAACCAGTCCATTCATCATTCCCAGCTTCTTCCCACCTTTATCCCCTGCTGTTTCTGCAGCATGGATGAGAGCAGATCAGATCTAAAAGTCAGACTCTTCCATGTGCAGCTGCTCAGAGTTCTCCCTTCTAGTTTGGTCTGAGAAGTCTCCATGGCTCCCTGAATCTTTGGATGTTAAACAGTAAAACAGGAGAAGCTCCCACTCCTCAAACTCTGCTTGAGAATCCTCCTCTTTTCAAGCAGAGCTTTAGGAGCTGCCACAGGAAGGGCCTTTCAGTCTCTGTAGCCTTTTTGGAAGCTTTTTTAGCTTTACAGGTGCTGGGATGTTCATCAGCAGCTCCAGCACAGGGAGATTCTGGCCACACACAGAGTAGCCAGAGGGTCCCACAAGCTGTGGGCTCAGGCAGGCAGGAATGTTCTCAGTAAATAGATTTAATGGCCATGCAAGAGCACATCCCACTGATCCATGGGCAGGAGCAGCAGGATTTGCTGGGTTAAGCACTGTGCTAGCATAGCTCAGATGTGCTGCACTGACAAATCAATATCAAGTGCAGGAATGCCCAGCTTTTCCTTAAAAGTCACTTTTAGAATCAGGCAAGTTTAAATTTCAGGCATTCCTATGTGGTAAGCTACAACTTTGCTATGAAGAAGACAGTTTATTTCCTACCAAGCAGCAGGACTGGCTGCAATATCCCCAATTCCCACTCCCCAAGTCCAGCAGGAGTTACAGGAGACAGAACTGCTGAGCTTTTCTCCAGAGAGAATTCCCTCTGCAGCTGAGAGCACACAGTGCAGGGATGACCCCTGCAATTTCTCTCTCACATCTCAGCAACACCTGATTATTTTGCCTTCAGCACAAACTGTTTGCTACAGGAGGAAGACCCTTGTCTGGGACGTGCTGAGCTCAGGGAATCAGGATCCAAATTCCTCCATGAGGGGTTGTGTTGCATGGAGGAATAATTGCTGCCCAAACCCAGAGCCCACACACTGCTGCCTCAGCACAAAGCCTTACACAGAGGGTGGAGGATGAGGAGTGCTGCTGAAAAAGTGGCCACTTTTATGTGAGAGAAGAGCAAGTTCCACCTCTTCAAGCCTGCATTCACCACCCACAAAAAAAGCCTCATCCCCAATCCCTGTCTCCGACCCCCATAAAACAACTTTAATTATATTTAAATTAAAAACAACTCCAGAAAAAGCAGCACTCGCATGAGAATAGATTCCAATTCTGGTCTTGAAGATAGAGGGATGACAAGGCAGGAGCAGAAGGAGCAGAGCTCTTCCTCCCTGCAGCCAGAGGGATGAGAAGGCAGGAGCAGAGCTCTTCCTCTCAAAGTCCCACAGGCACCTGCTCCATCAGCCCAGCCCACAGCATTGCCTGGCCAGTCTGAAGGCATTGGGCTCCCAAGGCTCTTCCAGAAGGAGCTGGAGGTGGCACGGGAAGAGTCTGAGCTCCCCAGAAACCCTGTGCTGGCAGCCAGTGTCTGTCAGTCTGTCACCCCCAGCCTGGTGCCCCCACACCAGCGAGGCCACAGCTCCCCCAAACCAACCTGCTCCAGGCAGCAGCAGGGAGATGCTGGGGGAGAATTTGGCCTTGAAGGGGCAATGCCAAGGGATGCCAGGCTCTGACAGCTCTCCCAAGCACAGGGCAGTGCCAGCAGGGCACATATTTGCCTCCAGGCTTGGGAAAGAGAAGGAATTACAACTTCCCAGCACAACATCAGTGTTCATCAGTTCCTGTACAGCTCGATGCTCTTCCTTCACCCCCGAGTGCACAGTGGAATTCCATCAAGAAGAGGTGAGAAGAGCACAGCTCACACCCACTGAGCAATCCTCCCAGTCTTTGTCCAGGAGACACCAGAAACACGGTTTTTAGATGCAGCAGTTTTATTTTAAGTAGTTATCACCCAGTACAAGCAGCTTTTAGGACAATTCTTTACACTTTCCACCTACTGAGGGTTTAATGCCAACAGCAATTATTGTTTTATCCTTTACATGGGGGTGCTGGAGGTTTCCAGGTGCCCAGTTCCTGCTGCCCCTGCCTCCTCCCGGCAGGATTGATCCTCCTCCCTGGGGAAGAAGGGCCCCACCAGCTAGGACAGAGGAGTGTTGTTCTTCAGGTAACCCAGCAGCTCCTCCATGCACTCCTGGATCACAGCCAGCTCCCTCTGGCTCCGGGTCAGGACACTGCTGGACAAATCCTGGAAGGAGTCCGCCCCTGCAAAAGCAGCGTGCAGCTCCTTGGCGGCACACAGAGCCTGTTGCAGCCTGTCCTGCAGGCTGCAGGGAATGCCCTGCAGAGCCTGCAGCACCCCCCAGCAGGTGAGCTGCAGCTGCTGGGTCAGCCTGCAGGCCAGCAGCAGCGTCAGACTCTCCATCTCCTGGGGGAGGCAGCAAGGACACGCTCAGGAATGAGGCTCTCAAACCAAGGGGATGCCCAGAGCCCTCTGCCTCCCTCCCTCCCCAGGAAGGCACCTCTGGCTCTGCAGGGCTTTCATCTCCACTCGCTTTGCGATACTTCCAACTCCAGTCCAGCCACATCTGCTGGAGTTTCTCCTGCCCCTCCTGAAGCTTTTGAGTAAATCCTTGCTTAAACACCTCAACCTGTGGCAGGGGAAGATCAGAGAGCCGGGACAGACAGATCAGCTGGGGACCTGCAAAGCTCCTCAGCACAGCAATGAAGCTGAGACAAGAGCAGGGCTTTGGTCCCCTCCTCCCAGGGGCTGGGCTCTACCTACCAGCTGGAGGATGCAGTGGAGCTGTGTCAGGGACCCCTGCATGCCCTGCCAGACCTGCTTGATCCTGGCTGTGGCATGCAGGTGGGCAAAGAGGTGTGGGTCCTCTGAGAGAGAGCCCAGGTGCACAAAGTACCTCCTGTGCTGCTGCAGGGGCAGCACATCTGTGCCCTCCTCACACTCTGCAGCTGGGCTGGGGACAGAGGCACTGCCTGAGCCACAGGTGTCACAGCAACAGGCTCAGGAGAGTCCAGACTAGCAGCTGGGTACCCTCCAGTGAGGCCCTGGAACAGGTGGCCCAGAGAAGCTGTGGCTGCCCCTGGATCCCTGGCAGTGCCCAAAGCCAGGCTGGATGGGGCTTGGAGCAGCCTGGGATTGTGGAAGGTGTCCCTGCCCATGGTAAGAAGCCCAAAATGAGCTTTAAGGTGCCTTCCAACCCAAACCACTCTGTGATTCTCTTCTTTCCATTATCCCCATTCCAGAGCAGTGGGGTGAGGAATGGGGCTGACCATCCCCAGTCCAACAATTCCCACTTCCACAGCCACCCTTTCCTTACCTAGCTGCCCATTCCCAATGGAGAAAGAGTCACCTGCTGTCCCCAGCACAGCCTCTGCTCCACAGGCACCCATCTGTCCCACTGCAGGCCCCAGCCCAGCAGCACTGGTCACTGCAGGTGTGGCAGCCCCGTCCCCTCGCTGCCCTGCAGAGTCTCCCCGGTGACATCCAGCACCTCCAGCGCTCTGCTGCTCACAGCCTCCTTCACCTCAGCCACCCTGGATGACAGCAGCTCCTTTGTGCCAGAGAGAATCTGGGGAACAGGGGGAATGGCAGATAACGGAGTGGGTTGTTTCTCACACTGAAATTCTGAACTGCACCGAAAGGACAAATAGCACAGTGTCAGTGGAGTGTTTGGTGTGCGAGCCTACATCCCTCCCTAGCTTAGAAATCCCACAAGAACCAAGCCCCTCTGCCTGACAGGGACAGCACAGCCTTTAATTCTTACCTGTTGCACTGGCTTTGGAAGGAGTGGCAGCTTCTCCCCCAGTTTATCCAAACCCTTGGCAGCATACTCACTCACTGCAGCAACTGAAGGGAGAACCAAAAAGAGTCAAAATGTGGTTTTCTGCAACTTCACCTCAAGTTCCACCTTGCAAAGATCAGTTTCAGCAACATCAGCATCAGAGTCACTCCCTGACTCTCCATGCCACTGCTGGGATTAGGGCCCAGCTTTAGCTGATTTATTAGGCAGGAGTTGTCCTTGCACTATGGCAATGGAGAGGTGCATTTCCTCACCCCGGGACTCCTGCCAGGTGTGGAAGGAGCTGGAGAGTTGTCAGAACTCAAAATGTCCCTCAGACATTTTTGGATGTTCCGGGCCCAGGTCAGAAGCATTTGAGACCCTGGCAGGCAGCTGGAAACAGCTGTGATTTTGGGTTTGAGCCATGGAATGATTTACCAACCTTGCAGGAAGAACAAGAAGTCACAAAAGTTTAGATGCTATAGTAGAAGTAGTCACAGAGTAAAGGGAAGAATTTTTTAGTGCTGTATAGGGGGGTTTTAGGTCTTGAACATGGGGGTCAGAGGTTTTAAGATGGAGGGATTTGGGCCTGTCCTGTCCTTCCTCTTTCTTCTTCCTTACCTCCATGTTCTTGGTGATGTTGGCACTCACAGATTGGTTTAGAGTAGAAAAGCACCATTTAATATAGGTAATGGGCATTGGGGACAAACTGTAACCATGTAACACGAAATGTACCATATAAAAGATAGAAAAGCACCATTTAATATAGGTAATAGGCATTGGGGACAAACTGTACCCATGTAACACGTAATGTACCATATAAAAGATAGAAAAGCACCATTTAATATAGGTAATAGTCATTGGGGACAAACTGTACCCATGTAACACGAAATGTACCATACAAAAGACAGCAGCAGCCCTGGGCGGGGAGAGAAGAAGCAGTCGGGAGTCAGAGAGGATGTCAGGGTGTGTGTGTGCCTCTGCCTGAGCTGTGAGCAAACCACAGCAGCCCCAGAAGAAAATCTTTTAGATAACTTGCAATAAACTGCCTTGAGACTGGATGACTGAAGACTACTGAGCCTTTCTTTGGAAGCACAGGTTGGAGGAGAGACTTTTCCACCACACAGAGCCACCCCTGACCGAGGGGTGAGCTTTGGCAGGGAGCCCCTCCCAGGCAGGACCTGCCCTCCCCAGGGATTTACCGTGGGGCTCCAGGGTGGCCAGCACACAGCTGGCCGTGGCCTCGGTCACACGCTGCACTCCCTTCTCTGCAGCATCACACACAGACCTCAGGCAGGGCTGGCTCCCCTTGGTGGAAGCATAAGCTGCAGGAACCACGTCACAGGCAGAGCTCACCAGGCTCAGACTGGCCACCTCCTTCACTGCAGCCTGGAGGAGCAAAGAAAAGTGCAGCCACGAAGTTCCAAACCTGGCATGAGCAGCTCTGCCCTGAAATTCCCTGTTGGGAGGAACTGTCACCAAATCACCTGGCCTACCTGAGGGAGAAACTCTTGCCTTGCTCACACATTTAATTAACTCCATTACTCAGCTGTGACATGAGCTGGGGAGCTTTGGCATGAATGATTGTCCACCCCAGGAAAGTTTTCCTCTATAGCACAACAAACAACCAAGTTTGGGGGTGACCTCAGTCCTGCTGCCATGTACCTATCTCCAGTTCACCTGCAATGGTTATTTGACAAGACAATATCCCAAGGACAGCTCCACCAGCCAGGACTGAGCTGGTTTTAAGCTGACAGACTTCGCCCTTGCCTGCAAGGATGCTGCTGGTCACAGGAGCAGAGCAAGAGCAACAGGTCTCAGGGAGGCTGAAACACTGGAGTCTTTCCATGAGAGCCCTGCTTGCCAGGAGCCAGCATCTTGAGTTAGAGAAACATCTTTCCTAGCCAAGAATCGGGAAATTTTGCTGAGCCTAAGAGGTTACAGAGACTTCAGGTCCACATCTTTGTCTGTGTTGTCTCCCAGAGGCTCCAGGGCACAGCCTGAGCAGAGGAAGCTCCCATTTTGGGGGGCCCAGCTCCCCTTAGTCACAGCAGGACCACCTCCTCACCCTGCACCCCAGAGCTGCCACTCCTCACATCCCACAGGGAGTACCAACCTCCTGCTCCACCTCTGGGGAGCTCTGGGCAGCCTCCTCCTTGTCGGGCAGGGCAGAGGCCATGGCAGCTGGAATGCAGAGAACACCAAGGCTTTAGGGACAGATCCCCCTCCAAGGGGACACCTCCCTCTATGGTCACGAAAGAGAAGTTCCTTTACTGCCTGTTCAGGGGAAACCCCAAAACAGCCTCATGGGAGGGGTCTGTGCCACTTGCAAATCTACCCTGTTTCAAGTTTAAGTTCCAGGTGGTTTGTGATAATCAAAGGAACAAGGAGAGTATTCTTTCCTCACCCTAGAGACCAAATATTATTAATACATTCAGGAGAGGCATAAGGTACTTCTTTCCTCTGATGCCTTAGGATTTCAGCTTTCTATTTTCCATATATTTGTAACCCTGCAGTTCTTTAGTGTAGAACTCTAAACTCCACACACAGTGTGAGCTGCTGCTTTCCCATTTTGGGCAGACACAACAATTCCTCTCCAGGCCTGGAAATCAAGGACATCTCACTGCCTCAGGCCCCAGAGATGGAAACAAAAATGAGTTCAGGGAAGCAAACTTGGGATCAATGACTTCATTACCTGAAGCTATAATTCACAGATTAACCCCCAATATGCAAATGGACCAAACATAGAAGTGTGAAAACCTGTGACCTGTGGTCCATTTTATGGGTGGACGTGGGCTTTATCTACCCTGGATATACCTGAAGGCCCTTCAATAAATAGAAATGCTTTTTTACTCTCTCAATTTTGTTCTTAGGTAGCCCAGAAAAGGCATCAGCCCCCACCAAGGCTTCAAGAAAACTCTTGACTAAAAGAAACAGCAACAACAACACTGAGAGAAAGCAGAGCTCAAGGGTCTGCCCTGCTGCTACCACACCCCAACACCTGAACGTTCCTCCTGGAAGCTGCAGAACAGCACCTGTATTACCTGTATCGCCTGTTGGAGGTGAGGAGAGCACCAGCAAGGAAGGACCAAGCACCAACCACAGTCCCTCTCCCCTCCTGCCTTTTTATGGTGCCTGGGATGGGGCAAGGTGGGACCCTCAGGGACTGACAGCTCTGGGAAGCAGCAGGAAGGATCCAGGCTCTGTCCTGGCCAATCAGGGGTGAATAGGGCTGCAGGGGCTGTGTTAGTTATCATTAATTACCGTTAATTACTCTGGAATTGTTCACACCTTGCCCTGAAGCAGCTTCATTTGGAGGCCTCCATTTCATCAGCAGTGACTATGGGAATGTGTTTGCTAAGTTTTCCACTTTGTGATGTTATACACTTTTATTTAAACAATACACTTGTAATCTCAGTGTTATTAATTAGTTTTGGAAGTCTTCTTTATGGCTTTAGGTTAAATACAGTATTTTCTTGTGGGTTTGTGCTTTTCAGCACAGAAAGTTTAAAATTCTCAGCATCTAAGGGTCCAACAGGAATGTGTGAAAGCAGTTTCCTGTCCTTGCATGAATGATATTTCATGGTTAATTCTGTTCCTAGATTAAGGATAAGCAATAAGATTTCGGGTTATTTAAAGGGAGCTTAATTTCTCCATTTGTCTGAGGAGCCACAAGCCTTTGCCAAGGATGTTTAGTGCTCTCTGACCAGTTGTCTACAGTTCTCCTTTTGGGGGGATGGTTGGACTCAACGATCTTAAATGTCTTTTCCAACTTTAGTAATTCCATGATCCCATGATTCTGATTCCATCTTCTGAGGATGTTTACATGGGAAATTGGATCTAGAACCTGGATTTTGAAATGGAAGCTACCATATTCCAGAGGATGAGCTTCATCTGGCTCATCAGTGCAGCACAAACCACAACCCTGGAGCTGCCAGAGCTCCAGGAGTGTTTGGACAGTGCTCTCAGGGATGCTCAGGGTGGGGTTGTTGGGGTCTCTGTGCAGGAGCTGGACCCCCTGATCCTTGTGGGTCCCTTCCAGCTGAGGATATTCCATGATCCAATAAAAGAAAGAGAATGGGAAGAGGCAAAAATAGGCATTGGCTGCACCTTTTCCCCATAATCCACCCAATTTCAGCACATCCTGCTCAAGTCACAGCCCCCTCAGCCAGGGAAATAAGAGTTTCCCAGAGCAGATCTGGCAGCACAAGTTGCCAAATCCTTGGATTTGATCCCCTTTGGGAGGAGGAGGCACAGCCAGTCTCTGATGTGGCAGAGTTCTTGTGCAGGAGCTCCACTGGAGGTGAGAGCAGAGCTGCCAGGAGGTCAGGCTGGGCTCTGCTCTCCAGCCCATCCAGCCCCTCCTCCAGACACCTGGAGGAAAAACATCCAAGGGCATGGAACCTTCTGGAGTGGCTCCAGAGCAAGCACCAAGATGACCAGAGGGATGGAGCAGCCCTGCTGGGAGGGAAGGCTGAGAGAGCTGGGGTTGTTCAGCCTGGAAAAGAGAAGCTCTTTTCTAATTCCAGCCTTCCAGTGTCTGAAGGAGCCAATAGGAAAGATGGAGAGAAACTATTGACAAGGACCTGGAGTGACAGGACAAGGGGGAATGGCTTCAGACTGAGAGGGAGTAGGTTTGGGTTGGACATTGGGAAGAAATTCTCCCCTGTGAGGGTGGGCAGACCCTGGCACAGGTGCCCAGAGCAGCTGTAGCTGCCCCTGGATCCCTGGCAGTGTCAAAAGCCAGGCTGGACAGGGCTTGGAGCAGCCTGGGACAGTGCAAGGTGTCCCTGCCCATGGACTTGGTGGGACTGGATGGGCTTTAAGGTCCTTCCAACCCATTTTGTGATGATTCTGTGATGAAATAGGTCCTGTTCCCCAGAAGGTGCCACCACCACCCCCTGTATCTGGACCAGAACTTCCAGGCAGGCTGGACCTCTGGACAAGTTCTAGCTGCAGCAGGCAAAGTGGGGCACCCATAGGAGACTACCCACACCACTCCAAGAGAATCCTTAGAGACTGATACCAGGCTCAGTGCCTGTCTTTGGAGGGTTTGAATGGTGCACGTACACAGAGGGAGTCACAAAGCAGAAGAGGAGCTCTGGGTGCCCCTCTGCCCCACAACACACTTGCTTAAAGTGTCCTGGCCTCTTTCAGTCATCTCCATATCATGCCATCAGCAGGTGGTATATATTTGAAGAGGGTGACCAGCAAACTGTCATAAACACCCCTCAGAAATATTATTTGAAGTCCTTTCCATAAAAAGAAACTGGAGTTTGATATATGTGCAGAGCACAAAGAATGGGCTCCAGCAGCACATTTTGAAAATCACTGCTTTAGGCAATCTCCTTAGCAGCTTGTTAGATGTTTTATAAGTGTCCTTCCCAGCTCCAAAAGAAATAATACCACTAATGATTGTGTCAGATACAAAATAATTTCACAGCCTTTTTTGTCTGCGAGCTTTCCAATTTCAATAAATCACATGCCCTTCTGTGCAGCTGAAGGAATCCAAATCCCAAGGAGCAGGCAGCTTGTCTGGGAAAGAAAATAAAAATAGGAAGGACAACAGGGCCATTTTTTTCTCCTGTATTAATTCCAGCACTATTTTGTTTGCCTTAGCAAGCCAGGCCCTGCTGAGCTGCAATTCCTGCTCAGCCTGGAATGAGCACACCTGGGGTCCCCCAGGAGGGGCTGGGGATAAACGTGGAGAGCAATAATGAGGGAATCTGCACAGCCCTGCAGGCCCCACTGCTCTGCAAAGGGAACTGGTGTCCCTGAGAGGGCTGGGGAACATCCCAGTTCCCAGGGAGGCATGGAGCTGTGCCAGGACAGATCTGCTGCCACATCCAGGGAAGGGATCTGCAGGAGCTGGGCAGGGCTTTGGGCAGGGAACTGTGGGGACCTGAAAGCTCCCTGCAAATCCCCCAGTGCCCAGGAGATCGGTTTGAAGGGACAGGTGTCTGCTAACAAAGGCAGGGACCTCCCCTGAAATGGAAAATGCAAACCCCCTCCCTCTGAATTATTATAATTTTGAAATTAAGGGGCTCTCAGGCAAAGATGTGGGAGTAGGAATAACAGTACTTTACTAGGGAAGAAAATAAAAATAAAATCAACAATGCAGTAATACAAAACAACCCTGCCAGAGTGAGAGCAGGCCCTGTGCCCCTGTGGGTCAGGGGGGTGGCAGCAGTCCCATCCCAGGGTGGCTCAGCCCTCCTGCAGTGCCAGCTGTGCTTCTGCTGGAGCAGGATCCTGCACAAGGGGGGAGTTTTCCTCTGGAGCTCCAGGGCTGGGGGAGATGGGCCTGGGCTCCTCTGGGAATGCAGGGGGAAGAAAGCTGCTCCTCTGGGGATGCAGTGGGAAGAAAGCTGCTCCTCTGGGAATGCAGGGGGCAAAGGCTGCTGTGGGGTTCCCAGGTCAGATTGTATCCAGGTAGGAATGCTCGGCTGTCGCTATAGGACACGAGAAAGCAATGCGAGCCACTTGCTACCTTGCAAGGCAAAAAAGAGAGCGTTTATTTTCTGACTCCAACTTTTATACTTCTCCAAAGGTGACAGTGGATTGGAGAGTGAACGGGCCACCTCTCCGAAGACATTGGACAAAGCACTAGTACATCAAGTCTCTCCACCCCCATGGAGGAATGCAAAACAATACGTTATTTACAGAAACTGTGTGGGAAAGTTTCCCAATAGAATGTAAATTCAGAAGGCTTAAGAAAACTCAAGAATCAGGGCGACACTCGGCTCCTCCCCTGGGCGCAGCATCTCCCCATGGATGATGGAATTTTCTCAGCCATGCAGGGACACTCAGTGGCCATGGACAGCAGAGATCTCTTGGAGGGAGGACTGGCTGTGGGAGAGATGAAGAAAAAACTGCCCAGGGAACAGCAGAGAACTGCCCCAGCTCTGACAGATGGGACCTAGACACAGACCCATTTCCAGCCTGTGACAATTGTCCTTGTGGACACAGCCACACCTGAGTGCCAGCATCAACCCACCAGGAAAAGCTTTCCTACCAGTGACATCCTTGGGGACAGCAGAGATGAGGGCAGGAAGGACACAGGTGCCTTTGTGCTTTACCTCTTGGATTTAAAGATGGAATATTGTATAGAGGAAGTAGGAAACTCATTTCACACCTTTCTTGAATCATAAAATCCCTGAATGGTTTGGGCTGGAAGGTA